TTAAGCTTTCTCTTGTTCTTTATTTATGAAAGAAAAATCACTGTAATTCATATGACAACAGATGCGAAAACTGAAACACAACAAAAATGTGGCAACAGAATTAAGTGACAAAAAATAAAAGCACTATTTGAAAATAATGGCCAGGGTACAAATGATACAAATCTCAAGAGAATAGGAGATTCTGAAATATACATCCTTCTTGGGTACAACAGGGAAAGTATTGTTATTCAAAAGGATTTTTTTTTCATTAGAACATTTTTCTTCCTGGTTTTTGCCTTTGAGAATATGTAATATTTATCAATCTCAGAACCTGAAATAACACTATAAAATACTATCCAATCTTACATCACCCTTGTATCCCATTAAAGTTTTGGATAAATCTATTTATAACCACTGGCTTAATTGGTTTTTTAAATTTGTTTTTCAAAAGGCTTGTGCCTCTTCTTACCTGGGCTCCTTTTTCCAACAGCAGCTCAATGCAATCAGCATCAGCCACCATGCAAGCACAGTGCAATGGTTTCAGAGTACCATGCATACAGTTGACATCTGCTCCCTGGAAGAACAGAGGAGAAAAAATGAAGGATATATTCATCATGTACTTCTAGTCCATCAGCATAACCCTTATAAATCATGTACTTCTAGTCCATCAGCATAACCCTTATAAATCCTTTACATGATCAATTTGTCATTTAAAAGCAAGAGAGATTAGGGCATCTTTAATTTATGAACTGAATTACACAGACTGAAATTTAAAAAGGTATTTTATCATTGGATTCCTTCTATTTATTGCTAATTATTTATTATCTCAACATTTCAAAAGCAATAGTGTCAACTATGACATATTCAACAATGCCTAGTTCAGTGGTGGCGAACCTATGGCATGGGTGCCAGAGATGGCACTCAGAGCCCTCTCTGTGGGTACTCATGCCGTCGCCCCAGTCCTAGGCCTTCAGCTGCCTTTTATAAAACCTTTTTGCTTTAGGCCTCCGCCGCCGTGTACAAAAAAAAGGTTCAATCAGTCAATTTCAACTTCTCGCGGGAAAAAAAAAGATCTTGCAAAGTTGGAATTGATTGATTGAACTTTTTAGTCCCACCCAGTCTGCTGTTACCACCACAGCCACGCCCACCCAATGGGCCACACCCACCCAATGGGCCACACCCACCCGGCATTCAACGATGCATAAGTGGGTTTTGGGTTGCAGTTTGGGCACTCGGTCTCTAAAAGGTTCGCCATCACTGGCCTAGTTCTTCTATTTAAGACAGCTAGGAAAATAAAAAAACAGGATTGTCTTTAATTTTTTACAGGGCACACACTGTCGGTAGATTTGGAAGCGGATTTAAAGTTAGCAACTTAGCTTGGTTAATTATAATTTGTTTCTCCCCCCCCTTTCATTCAGTCCTATCCTATTTTCAGAGTTTGCCTGGACAAGAACCTACAGTTTTCCTACCAAGGTTTTTTAGAAGTGGTTTGCCCTTGACCCCTTCCTAGGGTTGAGAGAAAGTGACTGGCCCAAGGTGACCCAGATGAATTTGTGCTTAAGGCAGGACTAAAATTCAGTTCCTAGTTTCTAGCCTGATGCTTTAGCCACTTCACCAAACCAGCTGTCAAATTCTTTCTTTCTGTCTTATTTAGACCACAATTTAGAAAAAAGTAATGAACTTAAATCTAGCTCAGGGGTAGGCAACCTTGGCTCTTTTATGACTCGTGGACTTCAACTCCCAGAATTCCTGAGCCAGCCATGCTGAGGGGAAAGGGAGAGGTTTCCATGCTGAGCCATGCTGGCTCAGGAATTCTGGGAGTTGAAGTCCACGAGTCATAAAAGAGCCAAGGTTGCCTACCCCTGGCCTAGCTCTTCCATCACAAATTGTTACATGATCTCCCTCCCCATTAAAAAAACACCTCTTTACATGTATCTTATCCCCCATAAAAAGGAAACTGTACATGTGTGGAGAATTAGAGACCACACGTTCCCTCTCCCACCAATCCAATCTTTTTTTTCTAATTCCAAATCAGGACATCCCTGAAAGTAAACATTGTCTTTTCTCCTGGTTTGCTTCAAAAAGACTTTCTATTCATAAATGCCTTTATGCGTGACCGAAACATTTTCCTTCCTGATAAAATTCCACATTTTGCCTTTCTAAAGCAGTTCTCTGAAAGTCTTTGATCAGTCCCTGGGAAAAAGAAGAAAGGCAGTCGAATACTATTTTTCTCTTTCTAATGTGAGAGAAGCCAGACTATGTGAATTTAATAAGTGGAGGAAGGAATCCACAGAAATGGACAAAGGGAATGAGGAAGGAAAGTACCAACTAGAGTTAAGAGAAGCAAAAAAAAATTCAGATTACTGCTGCTGCCATCTTCCATTCAATCAGAAGAATACTGCAGGATACTAGACAGGATAGTATTAGATAGAACTTTCAAGAACATTACACTTTTTAGGAAATCAGCAGAAAGTTTTGCATCTGCAGGACTTGTAAACCTAGAGCTTTTATTTTTTTTTCTACTTATAAAAGACAAACCAGAATTAGTAGAGAAATACAAGCAATGCAGAGGTTCTTAGGACAAAATAATGATTTTCCGATATTCAAATCTCTGAAGTATTTCTTGAGATGTGCCGACTTCTGACTTCTAGAATCCCTTTGCTTTTGATAAGAATTCTAAATGTCCATGCATTTGGGGGGGCATACAAATTGGGGGGAAAATACTTGAATATATTAAACTAACCCTTTTCAACTTTGCAGTCTAGATGAACTGAGCAATGCAGCAATTCCGAGCTAACCAGCACATTTTCTGGAAACTATAATAGTATACTAAATTTAGACAGCACCAGGGTAGGAAAGGTCTTTTCTTTTTTGGTACCTTTGAGTCAATCTTGTCTCCCCAGAACTTCCTAGCTGCAGACTAGATACTAAACAACTTATATAGCAGAGCAGCTGACAGTTTCAATCAAGCTCAACCAAGCATCTCATCCTCTCTAAGAGCTGTGTAATTGGAAACTGCTTGACTATTGCAATTTGACACTGAGGAGTATTCAAACCTTTTGAAGAAAAAGAAAATATCAGGCTTATAGAAGCTTGAGAAACAAAAATACTACAAACTGTCTCCTTTCTAACTAGAATAAGTTTTATAGAGCCATGAATGTATGACAAGAAGCATTATGGACATTCTTTAAAAACCCTTCCCACCATTCTTCAATGCAAAATCTTTTCCCAACAAGATACTCTTCAAGACGTGAGGACTGCAACTTTGAAAGGCAATGCAGACAGGAAACAGTTCTAGTGTATATGGAAGACAGCAAATTAGGGGAGGCTGTCCTGGACGTTATTCAACTGGAGAACATCCATGAGAATACAAGATGATACCTTATCTATAGTAGTTTTTCAAATGCAAAACTTCTGAGGGAGCGAGTTCATCTCCAATTAGTTTTAGGTGAGTGACTAGATATACAGTGTTTTGTCAGGCTTCTGACAGATTTTAATTTCATTCTGGATCATTTTAAAGTGTACTTTGCATTATCGAATTAAACTGTAGTTTCTTTTGGGGACCTTGGTAGATCGAAAGGTAGATTAGAAATACTATTGCAGCTGGATTTGTGA